AAGGAAGGCGACTCAGAAAGTGTGGGGCTCAGAGGTGGGAGGGGACCCGTTCTAGGGACGGGGGCCAGGGGGAGGGGACTCAGAGGGGGCGGGGCTCACAGAGGGGGAGAGTGCTGAGGGGTGAAAGGCCTGGGGAGAGAGGGCATTTAGAGAACAGGGAGGAAACTCTGGCATTTCTAGCTTCTGGGGGTAACTCACTGAGTCCCCCCAGCTTAAAGTGCTCGTGGCCGCAGCCACGGCAGCTCTGGAGTCGGGGGCGGGGCGCTGGCGCCTGTGTGGAGCCTCGGGGCAGCGCGCCTGGCCAGTGACGGCCATTGGGCCTCCGCAGGGGCTGCGGAGAAGAGCTCCAAGCACGGGGCCGAGGACCGGACGCAGAACATCATCATGGTGCTCAAAGACCGCATGAAGATCCGGGAGCGCAACAAGCCCGAGATCTTCGAGCTCATCCAGGAGATCTTCGCTGTGACCAGGACGGCGCACACGCAGCAGATGAAGGCCGTCAAGCAGAGCGTGCTGGACGGCACGTCCAAGTGGTCGGCCAAGATCAGCATCACCGGTGAGCGCAGCGGGCGGCCACGGGCCCTCCTCAGCTCCCTGTGCTCCGTCTCAGGCCCCGTCCCTCCCTTTTCCTGCGGGTACTTGAGTGCGTCCGTGTCTGTCCGTGTCCACGTGTGTGCGCGCTCATGCGTGGGCATGTATGCCTAGAAACATTTGTGCACGACACTCTTTCTGGGTGTGTCATGGTTGGTGTCACCCAGAACGAGACCCCAAGAAGAGGAGTTGAGGGCACATGGTTTATCTGGGAGGTGACCCCAGAAAGCCCTGGCGAGGGATGGGGACCTGAGGAGCCCTGAAGAGGATGCCAATGTGCAGGCAATGCTGTGGGTGACTGGGACTCAGACCCACCTGGGACCACTGGGGGCCATTTTAAGTAGGCACTTTAGAGTGGTCCCACGCAGGGGTGAGGGCAAAGGGGTGTTTATCTACGCCCAACGTTTTTTGGATTAGACAGACCTGAGCACGTGGGTAACCCCAGAAGTGACCCCAGAAAGCCCCCGTGCAGGGTGGGGATGTGAGGCAGGGAAGGAAGCCTGATGAGCAGGTGCTCAGCACCTCTGGGTACCGCAGGGCAACAGCGTAGAGCTCACACCTGAGAGTGTCCCCCCAGGGGCTGGGGTACTTTCCCATCCTTCATCGGCTGAGGGCTCCATCCTTGTTAACTCTCTAGCAAGTCCACCGTGCCCTGTCGTTGTACTCAGGCCATGTTGCAGTTGTCTCCAGTAAGCAGCCTGGAGCATGTGGCTGTGACTGCTCTTGGCATGCCTCGCTCCTTGAGTGCACCACTGTGTTTGTCCTGTGTGTCTTCCAGTGGTCTGTGCCCAGGGCTTGCAGGCAAAGGACAAGACAGGATCCAGTGACCCTTACGTCACAGTCCAGGTCGGGAAGACCAAGAAACGCACGAAAACCATCTACGGGAACCTCAATCCCGTGTGGGAAGAGAATTTCCACTTGTAAGTGCCTGTCTGGGCCCCTGACCCCCAACAGGGCTCCCCACTGGGGCAGCCAAAGGAGGGCTCCAAGACCGGCCCCATGCTGGCCACATGACCCCAGCCCTGCCTCCTACTCCCCCCACAGTGAATGTCACAACTCGTCTGACCGCATCAAGGTGCGTGTCTGGGATGAGGACGATGACATCAAATCCCGCGTGAAGCAGAGGTTCAAGAGGGAATCTGACGACTTCCTGGGGCAGACGATCATCGAGGTGCGGACGCTCAGCGGCGAGATGGACGTGTGGTACAACCTGGGTGAGAGAGGGGGCTGCGGAGGGCAAGGCTTGCTGGGGGGGTGGGGGGGCAGGGAGCCAGCCAGAGTGGGGACCCCAGAGGGAGGGGAGAGGCACAGTGTCAGGAGCAATTTGGTCAAGGAACCTAATCTGATGCGAGCAGGCAACATTCAGGTTAACAGCATGAGTGGAGCCCAGGAGCCTCTTAGTTTGGGTTTGGTTTTGGGGGGCAGTGGAGGAACAGAATCTCCATCTCCCAGTCTCATGGGGGAGGCAGAAACCCAGACCTGGGAATCCTGCTCTGAGGAGAGAGGCACAGATCAGGAACCCAATCTAAGCAGGAAGATTGAGCTTTGAGAATCCAGTCTAAGGAAAGAGGTATTCTTTGGGAATCCTAATCTGAGAGGGGCGCTACAGACCCAAGAACCCTGTCTAAGAAAATGAGTGAGGGGCTGGCCCGGTGGCGCACTGCTACAGTGCGCCGCTTGGGAGTGCGGTGGCGCTCCCGCCGAGGGTTCGGATCCCACATACAGACCGGTTCCCGCTCACTGGCTGAGCGAGGTGCGGGCGCAGCGCCAAGGGTTGCGATCCCGTTGCCGGTCCCGGTCCGGTACGGGCGCGACACTGAGGGTTGCAATCTGTTGCCAGACACAAAAAAAGACAAAAAGGAAAAAAAAAAAAAGAAAAAAAGAAAATGAGTGGAATCAGGGGAGCCCAGCCTGATGGGGGAGGCAGGGTGTGTGAGTCCAGTGTGGAGGGATAGTAAGAGGCCAGTCTGAGAGGGGTGAGCAGAGCCCAGGAACCTCTTAGATTGGTTGAGGGAAATCTAGATATCCCAGTCCGATGGGGGAGGCAGGCAGCAAGACCTGGGCATCCTGTTCTGAGGAGAGAGGGTCAAAGCCAGGAAGGCTGTCTGAGAGAATGGGTAGAGTCTGAGGAGTGTGATCTGCTGGAGAAGGCAGGGCTGGAAGGTCAGTCTGGGAGAGAAGTAGGGCCTGGAGCTGCTCGTCTAAGGAGGGAGACACAGACACAGGAATAATGTGAGTGAAGGAGCAAGTTCTGAGATCCTAGTTGGAAGGGAGAGCCAGGGCCTAAGGAATTCTAGTCTGAGAAGGGAAACACAAGCCTAGTGAGCCAGTCTGGAGAAAGACAGCTGGGCCTTAATTTCAGGGAGTCTGGGAGGGTCACAGAGACGTGCATACAATAAAATAGCCCGGGGTTATTTTCAGTGGGAAGTTCTGACACTGCCGTCCTTTCTGCCATGCAGACAAGCGAACCGACAAATCTGCAGTGTCAGGTGCCATCCGATTACACATCAGCGTAGAGATCAAAGGCGAGGAGAAGGTGGCCCCCTACCACGTCCAGTACACGTGCCTGCATGAGGTGAGGGCCACTGTTTGGCCTGGACTTCGAAGCTCACTGTGACCTCTTAGACCACCTCTACTTGCCATTCCCTATACCTGGAAAATTCCTCCCCATCCATCAAGGTCCATCTTCAGGGCCCTCTCCTCTGGGAGGCCCTCCCTGACCTCCACTCTGACTCTCACTACTCATCTCCAGGTCCTTCCTTCTGCCCCAGCCCTGAACACTCAGGGCTGGGCTGTTGATGTATGGGTCTGTCTCTTCCAGCTGCCTGGAGGCTCCTGGAGAGCACTCTATCCCCCCAAACTAAGAACTTAGTTTGTTGAATGAATGCATGAATGATTGAGTGGATGAATGAGTGATCAGTAGATAAAAAGTTGGATGGAGGGATGGGTGAGTGCATGGATGGACAGATAGATGAGTTGGTGGGCAGATGCCTAAATAGATGGACAACGGGTAGGTGGACAGATGGATGGATGTGTGGTTGAACTATTGGAAGTATCGATGAGTGGATGGGTGGATATGGGGTTGTTGGGTAGATGGATAGGTGGGTAGATGGGTAGAAAGATGGATGAGGGATGGATGGGTAAATTGATGGGTGGATGGATGAATTGTTGGGTGGTTAAATTAAGTTGCGGGTAGATGGATGGGATGGATGGGTGTGTGGTTGAATTATTCGAAGAAAGGATGAGTAGACAGGTGAATGTTTGGGTAGGTGCATGGCTGAGTGAGTGGGTGGATGGATGGATGGATGGATGGGTTTGTGGGTGGATGGACAGATGAATGTGTGGTTGAACTACTGGAAGTGTGGATGAGCATGTGCATTAATTTTGGAGTAGTTGGATAGATGTATGGGTGAGTTTATGGGTGGACAGACAGATGATGGATGGGTGGATGGATGGGAAGATGGATAAATAAGTTGATGGATGGTTGTGTAGAAGGATGAATTATTGGATAGACAGGTTAAGTTGTGGGTGGATATATGGGATGGATGGATGGACGTGTGGTTGGATTATTAAAATGAAGGATGAGTGTATGGATGAATTTGGGGAGCTGGCTGGCTGGGTGGGTGGATGGATGAATGAAAGAGTAAATGAATGAATTAATAGACAGGTGATGTAAGCTGCCCCACCCTGAGAGCTCTGACCCCCCGTGCCTCCTTGCACTCCGCATGACAACACCTTCTCCCCCGTGGTGGCAGAATCTGTTCCACTTTGTGACGGACGTGCAGAACAACGGAGTCGTGAAGATCCCGGATGCCAAGGGCGATGACGCCTGGAAGGTTTACTATGATGAGACAGCTCAGGAAATTGTGGACGAGTTTGCCATGCGCTACGGCGTCGAGTCCATCTACCAAGCCATGACGTGAGGCTGCAGGCTGGGGTGGACATGGGGTGCGGTGTGGAATTCCTGTGGAGATTGGTTGAGTACTGTTGTTGACAGCTGGAGTAACAGGGACGAGAGAGCCAGAGTTAGAAGCAGATGGGATAACAATGAGTAGAAAGGTGGGGCCAGAGAAGAGATGCAGAGAAACTCGGAGGACAGGGTCAGGCAGGCCATGGTTTGGGGGTGAGGGAAAGCTGCTCACCGATGCTGTCTTGGAGTTGTCTTGGGGGGGACTCGGCCCATCCTGTCTGGACCCCGGGCCCAGTGCCTCCCACTCCCTCTCGCCAGCCACTTTGCCTGCCTCTCCTCCAAGTACATGTGCCCCGGCGTGCCCGCCGTCATGAGCACCCTTCTTGCCAACATCAACGCCTACTATGCACACACCACCGCCTCCACCAATGTGTCTGCCTCCGACCGCTTTGCCGCCTCCAACTTTGGGGTCAGTCCTAGGGACTGGGGCTGGAGGGTGAGGGAGAGCCCAGCACTGTGCTGGTCAGACCTGGTGTGACCCCTGGGTCCCCATTCTGGATGTGACTTTGCACCAGTCACTTCCCCTCTCTGAGCCTCAGTTTACCCCTCTGTAAGATGCTATAGGGTGGAAATGGATGTTAAAAGAGGGTTCAGTTCAGCGGTGGGTGGGGTGCATGTAGTGCCAAGTAAACACTATGATGCCATCCTCAGCTGCTTCCGTTGGCCACCAAATTCCACCTCCATCCATCCTCCCTCCTCCCCTGCCTCCTCAGAAAGAGCGCTTTGTGAAACTCCTGGACCAGCTGCATAACTCCCTGCGAATCGACCTCTCCATGTACCGGGTAAGAAGTGCATGTGTGAGGATTTGCTTGCCCCCATGCATGTGTGTGTGCTTGGAGGGGACAGCTGCCAGCAGACATGTGCATGAGAGGGTCCATCCTACCATGTGGAATCTGCTCCTCTGACATGTGTACACATATATGGACAGTACCTGCCCCAATGTGCTTGGTGCATCCAAGCAGACCCATGGTTGCTTTGAGGTGCTTTCATAAATCCCAGCCCACCTCCTGAAATTTGGGGACTCTTGTATCCCACCTAAAACACCGTCTCCCATCTTCCCCCAGCCTTCTTACACAACCCCACCTCTCTTCTTTTTTTCAACAGAATAACTTCCCAGCCAGCAGCCCGGAGAGACTCCAGGACCTTAAATCCACCGTGGACCTTCTCACCAGCATCACCTTCTTTCGGATGAAGGTAGAAGAAGAGACCCAGTCCCATTAGCTCACGAAGGGGGATTTCTCAGGACTCCCAGCTCCCAGAAAAAGTGACAATTTTTCCTGGAGAATTGTACCTTTCTCGGTGACCTTCTGCCTTGATACTGCTACCACATTTCCTTAAACCTAGAACAACTTGTAACCACTCCCTGGGTACGTCCTGTCCCAGCCATGCCCATCCATGCCTGTCTCCCTCTCTGCAGGTACAGGAACTCCAGAGCCCACCCCGCGCCAGCCAGGTGGTGAAGGATTGCGTGAAAGCCTGCCTCAACTCAACTTACGAGTACATCTTTAACAACTGTCATGAACTCTACAGCCGGGAGTACCAGACAGACCCGGTGAGGACCCCAGATGAGACAGAAGGGAGCAAGGGATGCCATCCAGCAACTGGCCCAAGTCCCAGCTCTGCTCCTTCCCAAGCCTCAGTATCTTCTTCTGTAAAATGGGGTTATCAACCCATATCTCACAATTGGGGAGATTTAATGAGATACAAACTTTAGATAAAATATAATTAAGTGCTTAGCACTGGGCATACAGTAGGTGCTCAGTAAATTTGGTTGCTTAGTTGAGTTTGGCATAAAACAGCATGCCTGGCACAGAGTCACTGAATTGGCATTGAACTGAATTTCTCTTGTAGATTTCAGTTTTGTTCATTTCATGTCGATTTGTTTGAGATCATTCTGTAAATGTTTATCTACACATAATGACCCAGGCTTAAGGGTAAAGTTTCAAGGAGCTTATAGTCTTCTATGAGGGAAGGATGTACAGACTGGAAATTTACAACCAAGGGTGATTGGTACTTAGATGGGGGACTCTCAGGAGGCAGTGAGAGCCTGAGGCAGCCCCTATCTCCTTTCTGACAGAACATAACCCATAAGCTGTGTTCAGGTCAACTTGATTGTATTGGGTCTTTTTTAACTGAAGCATAGTTGGTTGTACATATCTGTGGGGTACAGGATATCAATACCTGTGTGCAGTGTGTGATGCTCCAGTCATATTGTTTCTTTACGTTCAATTGACTTGAGTGGAAATCAGTCACTCCATCGAATTAGGTTGAGATGAACTGGATTAAATTGAGTTGAGTTTAGTTGAATTATCACCAGTTTAGTTCCATTTATTTCTACTTGGTTGACTTAAGTTAAAGTTGTTCTTGACAAATTAGTGAGGAGAACTGAGTTGGATTAAGTTGAATTTGAGTACAAATGAATTAATTTCCGTTAATCAAGTTGTTTTCGATCGGATTGAGTTGGATTGAGTTAGGATGAGCTGAGTTGTTGGATTAGGTGCTGTTGATTTCAATTGTTTGGAGCTGAATTGGATTCTCTTCAGTTGATCACACTCATTTCCATTCATTAGCTAAAGTTGGGTTGCATTGGCCTGAGTATGTTAGATTGGGTCGAGGTAGGTAGAGGTGGATTGGGTTGACTTGGGTTGAGTTAGATTAAGTTGGGTTGAGTTGGGTGACTTGGGTTCAAGTCGATTTATTTTCATTACTTTTATTTAGGTTGATGTTGATTTCGGACAAGTTGGTGAGGTTCAATTCCAATTGAGTTCATCTGAGTTTAATTCAATCCAATTGTTTAATTCTACTCCCTTCAATGTAATAGGCCCAAGTTCAGTTCCATTGAATTAACCCTCAGGAGAGCTGACTTCCGTTAAGCTAAGTGGGCTTGATTTACATTCATTTCAGTTCCATTTGGTTTAGTGGGTTGGGCTCATTTAAATTCAGTCCCATTCATTTCCATTCAGTTTTATGAATTGAATTAAAAAGTCTTAATTCAGCTTTTTTCAGCTGCATTGACATGAGCTCTGTTTGAGCCAGTCTACGTGTGTTTGGTTCCTTTCCACACGGATCTCCTACCTGAACCATACACATGTTAATGTGGCCCAGTCCTCACCAACCTCCTGCCCCTCAGTAACGAAGTGACTGAGGCACTAACCCCTGGACCCTTATAATCAACGTCTCCACTGCACCTTTCAGGCCAAGAAGGGGGAAGTTCCCCCAGAGGAACAGGGCCCCAGCATCAAGAACCTCGACTTCTGGTCCAAGCTGATCACCCTCATAGTGTCCATCATCGAGGAGGACAGGAATTCCTACACTCCCTGCCTCAACCAGTGAGTCGTCTGTTTGTGTAACTAATTATTTGGGGGTCATCCTGTGTGTGCATGCACACACATGCACAACTTTGTGTCTTGTGTGTAAAGGTGACTGTGGCTAATTATGCATAAAATGTGTATGTGGGGGCAAATGGCCGTTTGTTGTGCCTCTGTGAAATTCTTTTATGGGCATAATTTGCAACGTAAACATAAAATTGTGTATGCACACAATCGCTGCTGTAATCAGACATGTATTTTGTGTGTGTTGATTTGTGTGAATAACAATGTGTACATATGTATATAATTGTGTGTGTGTGTGTGTGTAGCTTCATAAATAACAATAATGTTAAGGCTGGTGGGTTAGCTCAGTTGGTTAGAGCACAGCTTTATAACAGCAAGTTCATGGGTTTGGATCCTTGTACCAGCCAGCTGCCAAAAAAAAAAAAAAAAAGAAAAAAGAAAAAATATATGTATATATAGTGTTGCTTAAGTATTTACTATGTTCTAGTTACTTTTCTAAATGTTTTTCATTTAAATTGCATTATATTTAACATGTGTGGATATATGTAATTTTGTGTATAGTTGTGGTCTATGGGTTTAATTGTGTATATGTGTATAATTGTGGAATTTACATCAATATACAATATTGTGTATTGGGTAATTGTGTGTGAATATAGGCACAGGAGGTGGATTTATGTGTAGAATTTTATTTTGGGGGTTGTTGGCACGTATGGGGACCTGAATCCTTGACCTTGGTGTTATAACACCGTTCTCTGCCTGTAGAGTTTTCGTGTGTGTTAGCTGAATGAGCTATTGTGTTTTATTTCTCCCTAAGGTGACTGCTACAGTGCTAACTTTGGGGCACTAACATCTGCTGGTAACTTAGATATGGAATTAAGATCAGGGATTTGGATGGATGGATTGAAGAGGTGGATGGATGAATAATGGATTCACGGATAGATGAATGAGTGGGCGGATGGATGGATGGATGGAGAGATGGGTGGATGAGTGGATGGATGGATGGATGGATAGATGGAGGGATAGATGGATGGATGGATGAATGGATATATATACAGACGACTGAGTGAATGAATGTGTGGCTAGATGGACGAATGGGTGAATGAATGGATGGAGAGATGGGTGAATGAGTGGGTGGGGTGGGTGGAGGCTCAGGGAGAAGCAGAGCCTCAGTGCAGAATCATTCAGCAAGTCAATGACTATGAGGGAACTTAAATCGAGATCCCTCTGCCCGGCCACACACTGCCCTCTGGGGCAGGAAAGGACAAAGCAGCCTGTGCCATCTGGCTTCCATGTGCCAAGGTCGCATACTTTTATGACCTTTGCCAGGTTTCCCCAGGAGCTGAATGTGGGTAAAATCAGTGCCGAAGTGATGTGGAATCTGTTTGCACAAGACATGAAGTATGCCATGGAGGGTGAGTCCCCCACCCCCATTCCGCCAGCCTGGCTACAGCAAGTAGCTGTGCCTCAGGGTCCCTTCCAAGGCCATGAGTGCCCTGAACTCTCATGCCTGAGTCAGACACCAGTGATGACCAGAGTGGGCAGCCTCTCAGCTGAGCCACCCCTTCCTCCTCTATCCAGAGCACGACAAACATCGTCTCTGCAAGAGTGCCGACTACATGAACCTCCACTTCAAGGTCAAGTGGCTCTACAACGAGTATGTGGCAGAGCTTCCTGCCTTCAAGGACCGTGTGCCCGAGTACCCCGCGTAAGCACTCTGCCCCAAGCCCAGCCCAAGACAGAACTCTAGCACCAACAGCTGGAAGGAGACCCAGAGAGGAGGGCTGACCTTCTCAGGGTTACCTGGGTGTTAGGGGCACAGGTGGGGCTCAAACCAGTGTTCCCGATTCTCAGCCACTGGACTGTGGACTCCTACAGCCCCCAAAATTCATAGTCATAATGGCAACAGGAACCTTGCTGAGCTATCCCACATGCCTTTTCTCACCTAATCCTTTGATAATTCTATGAGATGAGGGGGGATTGGTATGATTCCAATTTTTGTGGATGACAAAATGGAGGATTA